TGGAAACTGTGTGAGGCCTGGCATTTTTGTCATAGTGTTCATTGCTGACATCAAGAAGAGATGCTCAATAAACAATGGCTTAATATCAGGTCTTCCATGATGCCTTCCCTTCATGTTATAAGTCAGAGCTAATCATTTCCTATTCCCCACCCCCAGAGCATTCCATCTGTACCTTCTACCTTCTTTCTAGTGCTTCCTTCTGCCCTATATAATATTTATGTGTGTTTCTGGCCTGACCACTACAGTGAGACCTCACAAGGGTAGAAAGACATCTTTATCATCTTTACAACTGTGTGGTGTCTCGCTTGTGTTTTGTGCCCTGTCATGTTCAACTCGGCAAGCATGGTTCAGTCTGACTGAATGAAATAAATGCCTTATTATGTGAAGCTTCTTTCCTATTGACATGGAATTATCAGCTCCTAGTCTCAACACTACTTTTGCCTAGCACAGAGCTATGTGCATAGCAGAGTCTCCCCCAAATTTGTGTTCATTTGTTGATTTGCTAGACCAAGTCAGAGGGTCAGGCTCAGACCATCCATTTCTTTGTCTATGTCACTGCATGCCTCAACCATTATGATTTTGGTTTTTTTTTCCTTGGCCCAAAGCCTCCATTTGTTAGCCCACCTCATTGATGCCTGCCTCATTCCCACCCCGCGAACTCTTCCAGATTGTTCCAAAAGCTTCCAGACAGCTCCTTTTGTGTTTCTGGAATCAAGGGTGTTGTGTGGAATTAAGGGGGTTGTGTGTCTTTACTCGGTTCCCATAGTAACCAAATTCTTTCTTCCAAATACTGATCTCTGACGGGGCGGGGCGGGGGGGGTGGATAAAATACAGTGCCCTGGAGGAGAGTTTCTTTGAAGATGGAGACAGAGACTTGTTAATAGGCTTACAAAAATATTGTATAGACTTCATGTTAACCTCCTTTGAGGAGCTCAGAGTGCTTTATGAGAATTCTGGAAGTCACACTCAAATGTGTTTGTGAGCTTGGAGAGCTGTGGGCACTGTGTTCTCCTCTGTGTACACCTTGGAAGCTGAGGCAGGGAGGAATGAGGTGGCTTATCCCAGAACGAGCTGAGGAGCTAGCACTGGGCCTCCATCCTATACATGAGGGCCACGCACCTGGTTGGGTTTGGTGTTCTAGCTTGTTTGTGCAGTTCTGTGATTGGGTGAGGGTGTGTTGGTTAGGCTGGCTGTGAGAGGAACACATGTATTTGCTGTTTCATAACCCATTCACTTGCTTATTTTCTAGAAAAATGCTTCCATGATGAAGCAAGAAGGAAATTTTTATCCTCATTACCAGCTATCAGTCAGCCTGGGAATACATATTTTTAAATTGGTCTTTTTGTTGTTTTGGGAGAGTTTTTTTAGTGCATTTAAATATCCCCAAATGATGACATTCTCTGTATCACTTGCTGGGTCTTCTTGTATTTCTCAGACAGCTTCTTCTCCAGTGGCCCTTGCCAAGGGCTCTCCTTCCACCCACCACTTGGGGACTAGGATTCTCAAGAGTGACCTGCTGACACCCTGTCTACTCACCATCTAGGCCTCGTCTCCCTCCTTACCATGATTATAGCCAGTACCCACTCACTGAGGACTCCCAGTAACTGTCACTAGGCCCACCTCCTTCCCAAATCAGGATCTCTGGCTCCAGTTCTTTCCCAGGCTGGAGGAAATTTGCACAGTGCCTGACACATAGGTACACGAATATATTTCATAGACACACCCTCATATCAACATGCACGCAAACCATATCACTGGAAGCACTGGAGAATCCTCAACTCCTCCCTTTCCCTGCGCCCTCCTCTCATATCCAGTCACCTGTCAAGTTTGCCTTTGTCCAGAGGCCTTTGCCATCTCACACTTGACTGTTTCCTGGCCTCCAGTAATTCCATCTCTTTCCCTCCAGTGCCACCAAAGCTATCAAAACACAACCTAACACAATCATGTCAGCCCTTACTTTCAAAGCAAGGTTCACCTTTGCATCTAGGATCAAAATCCTTGGCATAGCATTCAAGGCCCTTCCCAGTGGGCTCCAGTCAATCCAGTTTCCTTGTTTGAATTCCCACCACTGTCCCCTTAGTGTGTGCTTTGGATTTTATTATATGAATGAGTGAATATGGAGGCAAACAGTCTTAAGCACTATCATCTTGAGGTCTATCAACCTGAAGACCTGAAGACACTAACTTTTGTTGTTTACTCCAGAATTGTTGATTTAGCCAAAGGATCTAACATGTGTCAGGCACTGTATTAGGCTCTCAGGCTACACCAGTGGACAAGACATGACAAAGATCCCTGCCTTCATGGGGCCTATTCTACCAGGAAACTCAGACCATAAACAACACAATAAATGATTTATGTAGTATGTTAGAAGGTCATAAGTGCTGTGAAAAAAAAGAGAAATTAAAAAAGAAAGAGAGGAAGAGAGTGAAAAGAAAAGAAAAAACAAGGATAAAAAAAGGAAAAAGAATGAGAAGGGGGAACAGGGTTAAAGATTAAATAAGATTTTGAGAGAAGGGCCAGTCGAGAAGGTGAGATTGTTCATCGAGCGACCTCTTCATTACTAGTCTCTCTGGCCTGATATTTTTCTTAATTTTTTTATTTGTTTTCAAAGATTTTATTTATTTATTCATGAGAGACACAGAGAGAGAGAGAGAGAGAGGCAGAGATACAGGCAGAGGGAGAAGCAGGCTCCTTGCATGGAGCCTGACGTGGGACTCGATCCCAGGGTCTCCCAGGATCACACCCTGGGCTGAGGGCAGCGCTAAACCATTGAGCCACCCGGGCTGCCCTTCCTGGCCTGATACTACTTGAGATCACCGTCATGTCCCTCATCCCAGGAGGCAGGGAACTAGATGGCTGTTCTCAACAATTGCAAAGTAACAGTAATAGCTGCTATTCATTGTGGGCTTACTGTGCGCTGGGCACTACGCTGAACTGTCCACCATCTTGTCTCCCTTCATCTTCACAACAGCCTTCTGAGATTGATACAGTCAGCCCGATTTAACAGATGAAGGACCTGAAGGTTAGAGAAGTTAAGGCATTTACCCAAGGCCATGAGCTAGAAAGGGGCTGAGGTAGGACTGAGCATACAACTAGCCCTTTTGCCACCAAATTATCAGTGTAGGTATTTGAGGACCACTCCTTCTTTAGACGTTTCCAAAACCCTGTAGACTTAAGAGCCAACATGGTTTGTTTTCGAGGGTAATAATTGAGTGTCACAGCATGAGTGTGGGATGCAGGGGACACTCAATACCTGCTCCATTCAGCATCTGATCTGTCTCAGGCAAGTGGTTTGCAATCCATAGACAATCTCTGAAAATAATTGCATTGTCTTGCAGGCTTTTATTGCCAGAACACTCTTTCCTTAATGTTCATCCTTGGTCTACTAATCCAGTTTCCTCTCATTTGAGCCTCAGTGAAGCTAGAGTTCAACTTTCTTCATCTGCCTTAAAGTCTTTCTTCAAGATACTTGAACCAAACCTCTCCTATTCCAGATTGGTCTCAGTTCTGTCCATGTTCTATAGCAGTTGTCTAGACGTTGGAAGAACCAATGCCTTAGAGATGAAATCCTCGGTATTTTTACATCAATAACCCTGTAATCAACATACTGAATGCTTGTCGAGCATGACTAACCACTTATAAAAGAGCAAAGTGTGACTCAGAGAACCCCACCAAAAATAATGCATTTGGCCTAATCTTGGCCTGGTGCAGATTCAGACTTTTGAGTCATAAAGCTCATTAGAAATGGGGACATATTTGACTCTAATAAAGATTTTAGTGCAACCCAGATTTAGAGTGGTATATTTAGGATAGGCCGCAGGATGAATTTTGGAGCGTAGGCAGATGACGTAAGGAGGGAATAATCATCTTGAAAAGACAAGCTTTATTCCTTCTCTGTCACCACCTTCTGCCATTAAGAGAAAAGCCTGATTTAGGCAAGTCTTTTTACTTACTAGAAAAAGAAGGCTTTCATGATTTGAGCAGGAAAAGGGGTTTATTAGAAGTGATTTCTTTATTTGGGGTATGCTTAAAGCTTGCCAAGGGGCCTCCCAAGGTTTCCCTGGGTCCCTGCCTTTGGTTGCTCTGTTTTTTAACAAAGCTGCTACTTGTCACTGCTCTGCTGTGCTCACTCATCAGAAAGGATCTGCTGCGGGAGAAGCATTAGCTGCAGCTCCTCCTTAACTAATGCCCCTGCAGCCTCCTCCTTCCCCAGCAACTCTCTCCGTGTTTGTTTCTGACTCTCATTCTTCCCCTTGCCTTCATCCCCAATCATATTTCCACCCAGATGCATCATTTTTACTCCCAGTACGCTGTAGAGAAGGAGTCAGAATGCTGTCTTCCCATGAGTAGTACTCAGTAACAAACCAATTGCATTTTAGTTGGGCAGTGCCCCTACCCACCCTCCAGATCCCTTCCAGCTAAAACCCTACCCTTTTCCCATTATGTGTTTCTCAGTTTCCCTTTTTGTTTTTTGGATTATTCTGCTGCCCCTCCTCCTTACTCTACCACCCTTGGATCATAACGTAAAATTCTTTTACCATGTCAAGAAATTATTAAAAATGCAAAAAAAAAAAAAAAAAAAGAAAAAAGAGGGGCCAAGAGGAGGAGCTGCCAAGGCAGTAGAGAGCTAGAGAGAAGGGTAAAGGCATGGCCTAGGGAAGGTCAGCCTACTGTCACCCAGGGACAATTCAGAAAGCAAAGGGAAGCTCACACTTAGTACTTGACTGTCATGTTTCAGGCTCTGCATTGGTGTTTTCACATCCATTATTGTATTTAATGCTCATAACAACCCTGGAGGAAAAAGACAGCATATCCCAGGCGTACAAATGAGCATCTGAGGCTCGGAGGGGTCAAATCTACCCATCTGGGAAGTGGCAGATGTGCAGTCTCACTGCTCTAGTGTGCTTGTAAGAGCAGCAGGTGACAACTTCTTTTTTAAAGATCCCCCTCTCTTGGAGACCATGTTTTCTCTTAACCAGCCCCCTGCTTTTGTCCCTCAGGCAATTTGGTGGTTATGCCAAGGAAGCTGACTACGTAGCTCATGCCGCCCAGCTCCGTACTGCCCTAGAGGGCACGGCCACTTGCCGGAGTGACATCTACTTCTGCACTGGGTATGACCCTCCCATGAAGCCCTACGGACGTCGCAATGAGGTCTGGCTGGTGAAAGCATGAGTAACGCGCTGAGTTAGAACTTCCCGGACGGGTGTTTCTGTGTTTCCACTTCCTCAGGGGAGAAGGAGGGAGCACAGCTTCCAACTGTATCTCTAGCTTAATCCAACTTTCCTTCAAAGCCATGTACTGCCAATTTTCTGAAACGTGTGTATTTTGTCCATGCTCTTTCTCTCCCGGTGGGAAATAATTCAGCCAAGATAGGCAGCATCCTTCGAACTGACTGAGACATTTCTGTGGTAGATAAGAAAAAATCCAGGAAACATTCTCTCAGCTCTCTGGGTCCCTCAGAACTGATCTTTAAAAATTATTGAACCTGTGTTTTTGTTGTTGAGGGAGGGAAATGTGATTTGTGCATGATCCTTCCTCTGTGATTCTTACGAGGCCTTTGTCTGAAAAGAAACTGAAAATAAAGATCTTTGACTTAAAACAGCTGAGACCAATCCAGAGTATAGTGATTTCCAAGACCGCACAGTCTTATAAGGAATATCATTATGAGTGCTAATGATGATATTTACTGTTACAGGAATCCCATATTTAGTTCCAAAGTCCTTCAGAATATAAAGCCACAGATCCCAGGGTGGAAGGGCATGTACCACATGCTTGCATACATCTACATCATAGACATTTACCATGACCATGTCACAGTGATTCTACAATCATAAGTGGAGGATCCTGTGTGCAGTTGTGATCTACAAAGGGCTCCAGGAATGACAAAAGTAAACCAAGGAGAAAAATCATCACATTCTGATACACATCCCTGGAGGCAGGAAATCTGCTTGGAGGCTTTATTCGTGAGGGTAAGATGAGGTGACAAAAAAATGAGGTCCAGTTTCATGAATTGAAGAAGAATGAGCAGTTTGGCCTGCAGAGAAGGAAAGGGACCCCCCACCACCACACCCAAGGCTGTGAGGGGCAGGTGGGAAAGTGGCTGAGCTGGAACAGAATGTGTGAGTAAGGAATAGAATGTGTGAGCAAGCAAGAGGACAGAAGAGCCTAGCAGGTTACAGGACGTGTGGAGAGTATGCTGATCTCTCAGGATGCACCAAGGCCTGGCCCCATTAGCAGCCCTCCCCAGGACGCTGGACAGGTTTCAATGGAAAAACCCACCTTGGCACCCATCAGAAAGTTACTGCATGAGCAGTGAGGAAAGAAACAAAAATGAGCTTGAATCCTCACCAAGAAAGGTTCCCATTGGACATAAAATGGGATGTGCTGGGACACCTGGGTGGCTCAGTGGTTGAACATCTGCTTTTGGCTTGGGTCGTGCATGATCCCAGGGTCCTGAGATCGAGTCCTGCATCAGGCTCCCCGCAGAGAGCCTGCTTCTCCCTCTGCCTATGTCTCTGCCTCTCTCTGTTTGTCTCTCATAAGTAAATAAATAAAATCTTAAAAAAAGAAAAAAAGGGATTTGCTAAGGAAAGGGGTAAGACCATCACCTTTCCTGGCAACCGTTCAGAACACCAATCCCTTCTGAAGATCAGTGGGAAAGCACACTGAGTCTTGACCACCTGGCAGACACCGTGCTGGGTGGTGATCCCCACATACCCCGTATACGCACCCTGTGAGGGAGGTATCATTGTGACCCCCACACACAGCTGAGGGCCTGTAGTCTCACACCCTGAACTCAGGGCCAAGACAAAAGTGCAGCCATGGGGGCCTTAGGGCATGTCGAAGAGTTTGAATTTTAGGAAAAGTAAATGAATGACTTTGAGCAGGAACACAACATCATCGTGTTTTAAAGGGAAAATTCTGTCCTCTGTGTGGAAAATTGATCAGAAGGGAATGCAACCACAGGTAGGAAGACCAGTTACAAAACTCTAAGATGATGGAGGCCTAGAAGCCAGGGTAGGGGCATGGGGGTGGGGAGAAGGGAACCATTCGAGAGAAACAGGATCAACAAGGACTGGGAAGGGAGCAGGTGAGTGAAGTAAGGGAGAAGGGGTCAGGTGCAATGCCCAGGAAGTTGGCTGGGGTGGGGTGGTTGGGGCTGCCACTCTCAGCAGTGGGGAGCATAGGCAGGAAGCAGGTGATCGAGAGCAGCATGCACTAGACCGGAGTTAGGTCCCCAGAACACCTGACTGAGGCTGTCTCCTAGACAATTGGAAGGGGGTCTGATGCTAAAAAAGAAACCTGAGGGGCGCCTGGGTGGCTCAGTCAGTTAAGTGTCTGCCTTCGGCCCAGGGCATGATCCCAGGGTCCAGGGATGGAGCCCTGCATCCAGCTTCCTGCTCAGCAGGGAGCCTGCTTCTCCCTCTCCCTCTGCCGCTCCCCTTGCTAATATTCCCCAACCCCTCTCAAACGAATAAAATCTAAAAGAAAATAAAAGAAAGAAAAAAAGAAAAGAAAAGAAAAAGAAAAGAAAAGAAACCTAAGCTGCAGACATACATATGTGTGGAGGTCATGAATATACAAATGGAGTGGATGAATCATGCCCTCTCCCAGGGAAAGGCTGTGGAGTGAGGAGAGAACCTAGGTGAGAGCTCAGGGGAACCTCAATGTTTGGAGAAGAGCAGAGGGAAAGAGCCTGACAACAATCAAAAAGACACAGCCATTGTGGACATTGCTGCTATGAACATTGGGGTGCAGGTGTCTTGGTTTTTCACTACATTTGTATCTTCGGGGTAAACCCCCAGTAGTGCAATTGCTGGGTCATAGGGTAGCTCTATTTTTAACTCTTTGAGGAAACTCCACACAATAGCCAAACTGTGGAAGGATCCTCAGTGTCCATCAGATGAATGGATAAAGAAGCTGTGGTCTATGTATACAATGGAATATTCCTCAGCCATTAGAAACGACACATCTCCACCATTTGCTCCAACATGGATGGAACTGGAGGGTATTATGCTGAGTGAAGTAAGTCAATCGGAAAAGGACAAACATTATATGGTTTCACTCATACGAGGAATATAAAAAATAGTGAAAGGGATTATAAGGGAAAGGAGAGAAAATGAGGGGGAAAAACCAGAGAGGGTGGAAAAAAACATGAGAGACTCCTAATTCTGGGAAATGAACAAGGGGTTGTGGAAGGAGAGGTGGGTGGAGGGATGGGGTGACTAGGTGATGGGCACTGAGGGGGGCACTTAACGGGATGAGCACTGGGTGTTATACTATATGTTGGCAAATCGAATGCCAATAAAAAAAATACAAAAAAAATTTTTTTTAAGTTTACCTGATTAGAAAATACAAAAACAAAAACAAACACACACACACACACACACACAAAAAAAAACCAGTCGTATGGGAGGAAAATGAGAAAATCAACGAGGAGGAGGTGACCAGCCTGCATTACTATATCAGTAAGTGCCACTGAGGCAAGTCTGCCTCCACTGGATCATCCTAGGGCTTGTCACCATCTTTCTTCCCTGGACTCCTGCAGTGACCTAATTAGTCTCACTTCCCTTCCATCTGTTTCTAGGCAACATCCAGGAGGACTTGGCTTTAAAACTCTCACTTTGCCCTTAGACTGAAATGTATACTCCATTTCATGCCCTGCCAGGCTGTGTGTGATTTGGCCCCTGACCACTCCTACCCCTTCCTTTCTCTTATCTCTTCCTCTAATCTTCTGGCCTTGGTGAACTTTTACTTCCTTGAATATACTAAGGTCTTTATTGTCCCAGGGCCTTTGCACTAGCTGTTATGTCTGCCTGAAGCCCTTTTTACCTCATTTTCAAGCAGCTGGGCCTTCTCATCCTATGGGTCCTAACCTAAGGTCCTCAGTGGCCCCTCTGTCTAACCCAGGATCCCCCCACAGTTCTCCATCATAGAGTTGTGTTTATGTTTTCCTTCTTAAGACAAACCATCATTTGCAGTTTAGAGACTTAACTCTTTCTCTCTCTCTCTCTCTCTCTCTCTCTCTCTCTCTCTCTCTCGATAATAAGAAGGAGGCCCAAACCTACTTTGTTCCCCCTTATGCCCCCAGCACCTAGTTCAGGGCCACATTTAGGGATGAATTCAGCTGTGAGTAACAGACAACTGAACCAACAGCAGCTTAAACTAAAGCACTTTTATGTCCTCACATAGTAAGAAACCTAGCAGTAGGCTCAGCAGCTCCATGCCTACATCTCTGACTTTCCTTGCTATTTCCCTCATGGCTGCAAGATGGCTGGTGCTGCTCCTGCCATCACATCCATGTTCAAAGCAGGAAAAAAGGGAGAGGAGCAAAGGTTGTATCAATAGTATCTGTCTAATTTTATGAGGAAACAAAAGCAGAAGCTCCCCCATCAGATTTCCATGTATATCTAATGGGCCAGAGCTGACACAGAGTCACCTACATCTGCAAAAGAGATGAGGAAAGTGTTCGTTTGGCTTCCCAGGCTCTATAGTGGGGAGCAGCAAAGAAGAATGATATTCAGAATGGCTTTGGAGTCGCTAGCCTACAGGGGCTTCTGCTAGGAGACAATGAGTAGGGGGGTATACTAGGAGCCTATAATTTGGGACAGTGAGAAATGGGAGACAGCTGGAGAGACGGGTTGAGGCCAGATTGCAAAGGCTCTTAAAGGTTTTAGTTCTACATTCTTACTTATGAGCTGATGCAAATGGCACAGGAGCACTTTGCCACCTCCCCTGGCCATGTCTCCTCCCCCTTTGAAACCCCCATATAGTGGAGCATCCCTTAAGATTAGGAAGAGATTGGTTTTAGGTCTCCTCCCCCTCAGTGAGGACATGGGGTGATTGGATGATGGTGATATAGTGAATTCAGAGAAAAGAGAGCCAGGAGCAAAGGAAATAAATTGTTTATTCTCGATCTGGATTTAAAATGAAAAACAGAACCATGGAGACCAGGGTTTCTAATTGCCAATCTATGGACAAGTAAAGCAATCTCTTTTCCTGACTCCCATGTCTTGTCTGTATCTTTCCCAAAATAGAACTTGAAAAGATCCTCTGGCCCCGTCTCACTCCTCCTCTCCCTAGGGTCTAGAGTTGAGCATATGGCTAATATTTTAGATCACGGTATAATGAAGTTGGAAAATAGTAAAGTACAGATATTAACAAATATCTAAACAATGCTCAGGGTTTAGTGCTCAGGAACACAGCCTGGAAGTGCAGATAGAAGGATGCTCTGCCTCATTCAGAAGCCATCTTCCTGTGGCATTAACATCCTTGTGTCCTTTGTGAGCACCACCCAGTAAACTGTGTCCCGAACCTAACACAGCACAATACCACACTCCCTCTTTCCATAAGGTCATTGTGGGTATAAATACGGTGGAACATTTGGCTAAGCTCAGGGAATTGGTCATCACTTGTTTAAGGAAGACTTCCTTCACTTCCATTTGGCTTCTCCACTCCTGAGTAATACTACTTTGATCTTGAGCACAGTAATTAAAGCTTCATAGCATGCCACATCGATGGGTATTTATTTGGTTGAATACTGTAGATCCTGCCTTTGAATTTATATTCTTGACTAGCTCTACGGTTTTTTATTTAGAAAT